TGTGACAGCGAGAGATGGTGCTTTCTCCCATGAGTGTGGAGCGCGTCTAAGTAACTGGGCCTCCACTCTTCAAACAGAGTTGGTTGCCATAATCCTTGCACTCGAGTGCGTATATGAATCCAAAGTTGACACGGTAATTGTAAGTGACTCCTTCTGACCTCAGCTCCCCAAGGCATAACTGTGGTGTGCTTGTGTCTGAAGCTAGATACAGATATAATAAAATAATCAATGATGGAGACAGAGTTTGTATCCTCCGTATGCAGGATAGAACTGACGAGTTAGCCAAAACTTTTGTTCATAAAGAGGGAACTGATTACCATTTTGCACTGCCTTTGAGCAGCCTGAGGGCAGTAATATTCCGGGAACATCAACAAAATCAAGTCTCAAGTCTCAACAAAATCTCATAGACTTGAGGCAAAGTGACATTCACACCAGTTACTCCATCATCATTCTATTATGCAGGAAGAATCGCACGTCTATGGGTCATCCAATAATGATGCCCAACCACTTGGACAGTCGGGGATTGAACACCGACCTGCATGAGGCGAGACTGTCGCTCTACCGTCCAGCCCAAGCGGTTGGGCGATGGTGAGGATGAACTCGAATACCTTAATATTTAATATGGTATCCCACATCTTGCTATAACGTTTTTAGTACGTATTAGAACATTGTTACACCTTGCTATATTGGTTGTTACACTTGTCAGGTGTTGTTAAAACTTGTTCGAATATTGTAGCAACGTCGTAGTTTCGTCGTGCGTTTGGCGGGAACTTGGAAGTGATATGAGGATAAAGATGTGGGATAGGACGGCAGGAAGGAATGGTGCCCAACCACTTGGAGGGTCAACCACTTACCTGCAAGAAGTAAGACCGTCTTCTACCGTCCAGTCCATGTGGCTGCTTATAGATACACAGTATCTCCACAACTAGCAGCCACCTGAAAACCTTGTTCGTTATTGTTGACTCTCATAGCACTATTAGCTATTGAATCTTTTAACCTTTCTAATCCCAAAGCATCGACCTACTCTCCCCACCTATAACCCATACACCCAGGCCAACCTAACTTATTGATGTATCAAACTTTTGAAATGAGAAAATAGACTAGGTGCAAATTGCCTTTGTACATTTTTCTGTGTCTTTCCACAACACTTCATATACTGTGTAAGTCAGCCCTTTTTCATTATAATTAACTTATCTTAATTTTTACACCATCCATTAAAAATACATATCATCTACACCCCTTCTCCCATCCTCCTATCACCAGTATTTACCACCAATACCCCCCTTTCCTCTCCATCCCCATCACCAATACACAGCCCCAATACCCTTTCTCCCATCCCCTATCACCAATACACACCCCCAATACCCCTTCCTCCCCACCCCCGTCACCAATACATCCAACCTACTCCTTTTCCCATTCCCCTATCACCATTACGCTTTCCCCCCTATCCTCATCATCTACACAATACCACTTCCCCCAATGATCACAGATCACAAGCTTCTTTCTGCACGCTCGCCACAAGAACGAACATGTCCGCTCTCACAGCCCACACCGTGTGATAGTCGCCAAGGCGCATTACACTAGGTCAGCCCCACTTTCATCCTGAATATTCGGGAGAAGGAGGGCCTCCTTAAGTAATGAGCATTGTCGGGTAAAGCACCGGTAAGCCAGAGTATCTCCACACGACCGACACCACTGCGATCCGTTGAGGGGGGGGGGGTGCCATATGGGACCAGTCACCTGGTACCATGTTTCAGAGAGTGAAGACCACCTTCCTGAACAACCATGCGTTCACCAAGCGTGAACGCATGGTTGTTACGCTGCAAACCATCTCCACCATTACCAACGTCACACCTGTCGACTTTCGCCAGGAGGGGGAGGAATGTTGTTTTCTTTTACTCGCAGGAGAATAACATCGACCACTTCGAAACACTTCCTACTCGCACCGACCTTGAAAAAGCGCTTATCAGCCGAATTTTCTCTCAACGGCTCCTTGCTAAGAGATCCGTTATCATCAGGAGAACCAACGATTGGATCTCCAACCGCGACCTCCAAGCTATTGTGGAACGGAAGGGATTTATCAGGAGAAAGCGCCACGCCATTACTATATAGCACTGGGAATGGGTCAGGATAACGATTTGAGATGGGACGGGGGAAAGTAATGGTGCCCAACCACTTGGACAGGCTATTGTGGGTGCAATCGAAGCTGAGAACCCTCCTGCAAGAGCAATCAATCTTTATATCCTCGGTCGCACCCCCGGAACCCTCGCGACCATGAAACTGACTTCTGAAATCACCCATGCGGACCTTGCTGCCGCACAAGTGCTCAAGTGCTTCGGAGTCAAGATTCCACCAGCCATGATCAAGAAGGAACGCGTCTACGATCTACAACAGTGTCTAAAATGTTACCAGTGCACACACACACTCTACCAAGAAATGCACGGAAAGCGTCACCAAGTGCAGCATCTGCACGGAAGACCACCGTTACACCGTCTGCTGGGCTAAATTAAGTCCAGCGTTGTCTCGTCTGCGAAGGTGACCACGTGTCGAAAGGTGATCACGGCCATCTCCAATCGCCGCCCGTGTCAAAAGGAAGAAATCCGGAAAATTGAAGACTCGAGGTGCCTTGCCGCCTCCACCACCAACGCCGCTCGCGAGCACCATCGTCATTCAACATCCATTCCGTTGCTGGCCACCACCACACCTCCTTATCACACTTGATACCACAGCTTTGCTGACATTGCCTATGTAAATGAAATATTATTCTCCTTTAATATTATTCATATTTACATTCTCACTTCTTATACTGCATAATTATTATGTATATTAATGTATTTGATAAATAAATAAATGTCACTCATACGATTTGTATTGTCGTCTACGCTCTTCAGCGACTCAAGGGTCTCACCTCGTTTCACGTTAGCTTCTTATACTCACGACCTGAAGAGCGCTTGCACTGCTGCAGTGTGCCTGCACTGCCCAGTGCTTCCCTTGCCGTGCTCTTCGTGTGTTGTTGTAAAGCAGTGTACAAAATGTTCAGCAGCTGGGTCAAGCCCTGACTCTTTTTCTCCTTAAGCATTTCCTCTCCCCCACTTATTCACCTTCTGTCCCCACGTCCCTGCTCGCCCCTTACAGTGTCTTATCCTGTATCTAGTCTTCTTCGCCACTTTTCCAGAGCTCCCGGGAGGAGAAAGAGCTACAACACAGCAAGATAACCTCAAGAAGATAACCCAGCCAATGGGGGGCCCAGCTCCCAGTCCACCAGCCATCACCGCCCTAGCCGTCGCCACCACCCCATCACAGCCTTCACCACAGCAGATACCAGCTCCTTTACTCACCACACAATACGGTGGACGCTCTAACTACGGTGGAGACAAGATTGCTGGCTACCAGGAATATGTAAGGATTCTGAACATACTCTATGCTGCGAGTGGCCTTCCGACTTGCCTGGTGTAGGAAGTCTACACCACCTTTACTCCAGCTACAAGTTCTACTCATGCCTCTGAACGCTGCCGCGCTCACAGATCTACTGTCTACTGCTGCAATACCTGTTCCAACAGCCACAGTGGAGGAAGCAGCCCTGGAACCGACGCCTTCACATCCGACATCTGCTGCAGCCCCACCCACCATCCCTGTAGCTGCATAGTCTGCCACCGTGCATTCTTCAGAACCATCTACTACCATCGCGTCATAGACCCTGTACACCCCCCCTCACTGAACCTTCTACTCAAGCTGCAGGACCTGCTACTACTTAACCTCCAATGACCACCACCTTTGCCTTCGACTTGTACTCTGTTCCCTGCTCAAGTTTTCTGCATCCTCGCCCCAGCCTTCTATTTCCTGCTTACCTGCTCTAGGGTCTTGGATTCGATTCGGCCCCTCTCCCCCCCCCCCCGGAAACACACACTTTTATTCAACATACCAACAAACACAATTTTAATAAAATTAAAAATAATAATGAACATTTAGGATATACAGAACAAGAGGGGGTAGGTGATTGTATGCTGGGCACTACCATACCACCATGTAAACGCCTAAATATCCTGGAAGCAGAGAACTGAATGTCTTTCCAACCCTGTAAAAGACGGCCATGGTCATATTCTCCTCGAAAATTATGGGATCTTGCAAATAACCTGCATGAGCTGAGAACTGAGACCTTCAGCATTAATACTTAAGAGCACAAGTCCATCGCTTTGCAGCTGCGGGGGACTAAGCTGTGAAAGTGTAGTACGGTAGTTGTAAACTGAAGAGGAGAGCATCCACAACTGAAGCACTAACCACACGGGCAGATAAGATAACTAGGAAGCAACCACGTGGGGTAATCGCAGGAATTATTGCTATTCAGCTCCACTGCCTAATAATAAAGACAAGTTTGTTAATTACATCAATGTTACTTGAATCAAGTCAATATGATGAGCCTTTCTCAATACTGTACAGTATATTACAAAAATAAAACTTGCAATGGTGCCATATTGACGTTTAAAAATGTGTATATTTTGTTGGATTAGTCCTTAGGCATAGTATTTTAATAATTTTCATATCGATATAATGACACACTGTATTCTCAATACAGTCTTTAGAATAGAAACCTTGAGAAAGAAAACAAAATATACATGGCAAAACCATAATATATGCTTCAATGGACAGAATTAACATTGTTTAGTCTAATTCAGTAACAGTTGTCATTAACCAAGAAATGCTGCTTGAAAAAAAAAAGATATCAAAGTGCTGACAGCCATTTTGTTTTTACAGGCAAAAATGTTATCTTCAATAAATTCTACTCTCAGTTTGGTGTTTTTCTACATGCCACATGCTCTAGTCAAGTACTGTACTATTACTGTATTATTTGTAGTTTATATTTGTGTTATTGTGCAAATATTTGTAAGTTACCCGGAGCATATCTCTGCTCCCCATACCTCTGGAGAGGGATTTGGAAGTTCTTCTACTCCCAGAGCCCGGCCGGTAAAATTATGTAACAGGAAATACAAAAAAGGACAAAATTTTCTATGTAATATAAAAAGTTTATTTAACATAAGAAGTAATGTACACAAGTTAAAAGAGACCTTTAGATGGAAACTTATTATACTTTGGTTTTAGGAAGTTCAGGTATGAATGCCTTTGTCTTAATTATTTTTGTTGTAAAATTAATGTGAAATAATGAGCATCTTTTGCCAAGACAACATTACTTTAAAAATCTAAATTATCTCAGTTTTTAGCTCATTGATTTACAATAATCTTTTGTGCTAATGCAATAGAGTACTTGAACATCCCGCAACAATAAAGTTGACATTTTTTTGTTGTTTGTAAACTACACCAACTAGCTAATTGTCCCTACGTTCTTATTAAGCAGTACTATATGTTCGCTTTCTTATTTTACATAAAAGTTAACATATACACAATGCAAGTACCCAAAGTGAAGTCCTAGCGTGAAGGTGTATCGTTCTAGGTCCCTTCTGGACTAACGGTGTCATATTAACACACTCTGAGAAACAACATAAACTACCCAGAACTAGGGGCTGATGGGAACTATGGGGCTGATGGGAACTATGGGGCTGATGGGAACTATGGAGCTGATGGGAATTATGGAGCTGATGGGAACTGTGGGGCGGATGGGAAGTATGAGGCTATTTGGAAGTATTGGGTGATGGAAATTATGGGGCTGAAGGGAAGTACAGCATTGGGCTGATGGGATCATATGTAATTAGTAGAATGACATGACTTTGATCTCTGTACTGTATTTGTAATTGTTGTGTATAAACAAACACAACTTATTACATTCTAACAAAATCAGATTCAGATGTGGCCAATATTAATTTAATGTTGCCAAGGTATATGTACCTATAATCCTATATTTTTGTGGAAATTACAGATCACCAACTACCAAGAAGTTTTTTTGACCAAACGAAATTCTTGTTTTCTTTGCAGTGGACTTGTATTAGCACTGAAAGTATCACAGAACTCCAAAATCAACCTCTCTTCAGAACCCGATTTAAGACTCATTAATTACAGTATAAATATTTAGTTACCCAAAATCTCAATGTCAATTATGTGTATGCCATATGTACTGTACAGTATCTCGAGGAAAGTAATTATATGCTTTATGTACACTTGATAACCACTTACATAATATGTATATGAATTAGTGGCTGAACAAATGCTTTGTTATAAAAATCAGGCTTTGAAAATCTACTTTCTTAGAAAGGCACTCAGATGCTTTTTCAGGCAAGACCATTGTACTGTATTTCCCATTGTACATAATCATAAGTAAGGGCAGCATAACATTCTGTACCAACACAGCAATGATCTTCACAAACATCTCTTTCAGGTCATATTGATTTTAGTGGGGCACTGGAAAAAAGTACAGCCCAGCCCTGAGTGACTAAAAAAAGTTAATTTATAAATATAGTACTGAAAGCCTTTCCAAGCCCTACATGGCATTACAAAGTATAGTACTTAAAAACAGTACTTTTGTCAAACTGCTAATTTCACAATTGGCCACACTTTTCTTCTCTGTGACCAAATGGCAGCACCATTGCTATCACCAAGTCCCTCGCCTCAAACTTCATTAAACTTTAACATAAAAAGAAAATAGTATACAGGGAAATAAGTGACTCAAGAGGAAACAGGAGCATCTGAGTGTCATGCTCAGAAAGCAGATATAAATTCACATTCATTCAAAGATTGATTTGTGAGCACAAAGACACTTAGATGGCACCTAATGCAAGACTAAGGTCAAAGCTGCTGCTAAAATTACAAAGAACATGAATTGGGAACTAGCCTGTGCTGTAGAGAGGAGTTCCCAAAAAGCTATTGCAGGGCCCTTGGTTCACAAAAGGTGGTACACTCATTGTCTGAAGAGCAATCAAAGTTCAACATATTAATTGTGCAGCTGAGGAATCCTGGGAAGGTATTGTGAAGCAAAGGTGTGACTGACCCATCAGAAACCTTGGGCTTCGATGTCAGAATAGAATATCAACAAGAAGAATGCCGTGAGTGGCAAACTTTTGAAGCTTATGCAGCCTGCAATAAATCTGCAGATTACTCAAACTTGATGACTATGTGAAGCTGAGATATACAGACCTTAGTACAGGGCACCAGCATGTGAGGATTAAGGAAGAGTGATATAGCCTAACTCTGTCTAGGAGACTGTAATTAACATTAGGCTGCAACAGGCAGTGTATGGTGTACTTGATTGTAGACAAACTGGGCCCAATGCAAAATAGTGCTCTGCCTGAAGAAGTAAAATTTTGGCCAAGAGGCTATAATTATTATGAAGATGCACAAATGCCCACTGATCTAAAGCCAGGACTCCAAATGCAAGCATGATGTTTACTAGCCCAGTTTTCCATTCCTAAGGCAAACAAGAGCATCTTAGGGTAAAGTCCTTGTATGACATAGATACAGTACTTGAAATCTGTCAAGAAACAAAAACTCCAACATCCTGTGGGGAAAATAGATTGACAACAATGGCAAATGAAGTGAACAGTTTTGAAAGAAGATATTACATAGTTTGAGAAAGGGGAGACTTGAAAAGTCTAACCCAAAACTGAGTTAAAGAGAACCTGCCAGAGCAGTACCATACCTGATTTACCTGAGGGCCACTAACCCTAGTGGCCTCAACAATAAGAAACAAAGGGGTTTGGCATAAGGTTCCTGCACTAGTGGCAAGAGGAATTTGAAAATATTTTATGAGGTAGAATGGTGATAGATCCTCTCTATAAACTCCACATGTGAAAATCAGCAGCAGCTTAAACTATTCATGGAACACCAGGGGCTGATCATCAGCATGAGAAGGGAGGGAAATTGGGGAAAATTAGTGCTATAAAAGAGAAGTGCTGGGAACCTTGGCTGAACCAGCCACTGCTCCATTGGTGGTGCTTACCATGAAAGGGCTAGTAAAAGAGCCATAGGTTGCCTCCACCAAGAATTTCCCAAATTAAGCAGGGACTGCTCACTTACATTTTTGGGAGTGGTAGGGGCAATAATCATCTGCTCATGTGAAAACAGCTCACTATAAACACCCTAAGCAAGAACCCAAAATGAATGACTATGATCCCTCCCTCAAGAAAGTAGGGTTCATAGTTAAACATCCCTGTTGGGTTATATTGATGCAAGGGAGGCAATGGAGAAAAGCTGAACCCAGCTCTGCAGTAACTACACAAAGTTTATTCATGAACACTGGAGGTTCAAGACCTACTTGCCCGAAATGCTGCGTGTACTAGTGGCTTTACAAGAATGTAATTACTATGCTATGTATCCTCACAATCCCAATTTACCTTCTTGTATATATATAAATAAATAAATATATAAATAAATAAAACTTGCATCATGGGGACTGCCATATTATTCCATCGGTAAGGCTTACCGGAAAAGGGCAGTTGAAAGGGTGGTCACAAGCTTTCCCAGTAGAAATCTATTAAAACAAGCATGGACTGTCTACTTGTAAATATGGGAGTGTCAGAGGCAACAACTTTCCATGCATGGATAACTGGCCTCCTGAGAACACTGCTCAGACCAAGATTCCAAAAGAAATAAACACAACCTGCCATCTCCCTCGAGAGGTAGAGGAAACAGCAAATTTCAGCTGGAACATTGGTTCAATGGAATAAAGGTTTTCACTACCCTTGACCTGCTAAATCTTTCGTTAAAGAAAAGCAGGAATGATAAGGATGAGAAATGTAACAGTGGAAGTACATACAAATTCCTGAAACTGACTTAACACTGTGCATCTGTAAGTGAAACAAGCTATTAAAATGTTGACCACTACAGCAGGCAAAAAAAGAGAAAGGAGAGTAAACAGCTAGGTCAAAGTAGCAACTGCTGCCAAGGAAGACACAAGTGCAGGCAACTCGCTAAACCCACCTGGAATGTAGCTGGGAAAAGAATTTAATCACCATGAAGACTATGATAGGGTTTGTAAGGCTGAGGATCTGGAATGCAATACCCGCCAAACACACACCGAAACTACGACGTTGGTACAACGTTCGAACAAGTTTTACCACTTCCTAACCAGTTATAACAACCAATATAGCAAGTTGTAACAACGTTCTAATACGTCATAAACACGTTAAGCCAAGATGTAACAACTTTATTACAAGTTGTAACAAGCGGAAAATAGAGACAGTTTCGGTTTGTGTTTCCAGGGTAGGGATTATCTGATGGCAAGTGGGAAATTAGTAGTTTGGTTACAGCACTCCTTGGTGGTCTCTGTGATGACAAGTAGGGCTTGGAAATACTTTGTTTTTGTAGTCACTTAGCTGGGTTGAGCTTTTCTCAAGTGCCTCTGGTTGAGCTTTTCTGAAGTGCCTCCGTAGCATCAGTATCACCCAATAGAAACATTTGAAAAGATTACTATTGTGACAGTGCAGAATGTCACTCTTACCTGCCTGTCATGATCCTGTCTGATGGGACATTTCATGATCTTATCTTAAGAGAGCATCCTAGTGGAATTGCTCGGAAAGTTAAAAAGTAAGTTTCTTATGAAGATTATCGGTTCTGTATACAGTATGGTAAAGGTAATGAAGGAGAAAACCCAATAAATTGATTAACGATTCAGAGGATATTCTAAATTTTTCAAGCTGGGGGAATGCATTCCATCCATATATATTTTAGTATGAGGTATAACAGTTTTGAGTTACGTGCTAAAGTGGGTAGAGCTTAAAACAAGAGGAAAATATGGCTACACAAACACAGATAAACAAATGAAATACTTGTAAACAATTCCAAACAAAAGGTTGTTAATTGATGTAATAAATCCCAAATTTACAAGTTATTCACCTCTGATATTTGTAAAAATAATCAGAACGTCCAATTTGCTGCAATTTAGCAGATTATACACAGGAGTTTGCCAGATGCAGTACAAACAATATGAAGTTAAATGTCTGAATGCATGTCAGTTTCAATGTACTGTAATTACAATTCTAAATGATTAATTTACCTATACAGTATCTATAGTTTACATAAATTATGTTATATTATATTAATTTAATAAGATGATGACTGTACAGTATTTGGATCTATAATTTTTTTTATAGATTTGGTCAGCAGTAGAGAAAAACTGCCTACTCACAGTGCAGGGACTGGAAGTACAGCATTTACGAGCAAACTCATTCATGGTTCTAGATTCACTAGCACAGACTGAATATCTCACACATTTGGCTGGAGATTCATGAACCATTAGCATTGTGTAACACAGAGGATAGTGTGTTCAGCATTTGGTCAGTTAGAATCAATACTGTTGGGTCAGGTCATGCGAACAGCGTGCCCCTTGGCTAAAAGGACCTCAAAAAGCCCAACAAGTTTCCTGCCTTGGACAATGGTATACAGTACAGTACTGGTATAACAGATTACCTTTCCTGAAGACAAAATACTGCATTATGTGATAAAGTGCTGATGATTATTTGAGTTTTAAAATATTGTTTTTCCACTACCATTGATAATTTTTGTTGTTTTGATTTTGCAGAATTAAATGTTTTGCACCTTAGCTCATTTTAAAGCCAAAAACCAAAGTGTTTTATTCCGGAATGTAATTTGCCAAACAGTATGCATCCAGACTCATAATTCCTCCAGGTGCAAAAGAGTGAAGGAACTCTATTCAAATTGTTGCACCCTGCCCAAGATTTTAATTTAAAATAGTCTTTTGCTTGCAGATCTCCATAAATTTAATAAGATTTAATGAGTTGGGGCAGAAGCAAAAGGTAAATAAAAGCAAATCAATATGTGATCCGCAATATAGAAATATTAGCTTGTAATTGTATTGGAGAGTTGAGTTGACTGTAAAACTTTAGGGTTACCCCTCATCATCCCTCCATCAAACAAACAAAAAAAAGTTTAATTTTATGTATAGTAACAGTTTTCTACTTCATACATAAAATATACTGTATTTTCACTTTCTTTTCAAAGAAATACCTATTTTGTCAAGTGACTTTACACTTTCTGAGTTAGAATGAAAACATGCAGAAGAAAAGAGTTTCTCCACTTGTTATGAAATGAATTTGAGCATAACACTTTCTGAACATCAGGGGAAACTACTGTATATTCAAATGGAACTTCTTAACATTACACTTATCAATATTTTACATAAAATAAGTTACCGTACATGTTATATTTAATAAGTTGATGTCTGACTGCATAGTATCTGGCTCTATTTCTTTTTGTTATGGACACAGTACCAATACAGGCAAGCAACCCACTTACAGTACACGGACTGTAAGTGTTTACAAGCCAATCCATTCATTGGTTTGCTCACTCACAGACCGAGTGAGACAGAGGGTATATCTTCCTCACTTGGCTGAATATTTGTGAACCAATTTGATTTCTACAAGCTGGTGGAGGCAAAGTTGTACTCTGGAAATTTACTAACTCTGAACTGAATTATAGATCATTTTCTTTCTTAGTTTTCCTTTATTTAATTAATTATTTTTGAACATGCCAACCTTTGTAAAGTGACTAAAATTTGTACTCTAAAGCGGACTCCAATATAGAGACACTCAGCCTCCCCCAGTGGACCAAAACACTCAAATTGTTATATTTTGACTTCTAAACTCGAGTTGCCATATGAAGCCAATTTAGGTCATATTTACTACGACTCTACTGTACAGTATTGGTGCAACTAAAATAGGACATGACACTGACTAACAGCTTTATTCCAAATAATAACCCGGATGAATTCAGTTAGCTATTAACACAAAATTACTCTCCAATGACCAATATTACTCATATGGTAGCCGAATATGGGAAGAGTACTATGAATCAGGCTGCCAAAATGAATAGGCATTACACACTGGAATGTTTATTCACCAGGCACTCCAAAAGGAACATGCTTTGTTAACAAACAGCTGAACAGTGGCAGTGTTAAAACTTAGTACTGTAATTATGAAGAAAGGGCTGCTAATCAACTGGATATTTAAGGTGCAACAAATTCCACCAAACAGGCAAGCCCCTGGTCCCTGACAGGTTATGTTGTTGTTGTTTTAAGTGACATATATTTGTGTAAATATTATACATAGTAAGTCTACAAAGTTCAGTTTTATCCCTGATCTGACCTTATACGTGAATAGATTTGCTCTCCTGGTTACATACAATCACACACACGACTACAAGAAACCTACACAAAGTAGCAAAGTAGAGCTAATATCTTACCTTAAATAAGTAATTATTCCACATTAATATTCAGAATATCCTCCAGTGATAAATTACTGAACAACAACCATGCAATCTTACACTTGTCAAACCTGACAGTAGGTGCTCACTTTTTACACCCGTATCACATGCTTACTCATTACATCCGCAACCAATGCTCACTTGTTGCATCTGCATCTAGAGCTCACTTGTTACATCCTCATCTAGTGCTCACTTGTTAAATCCGCATCTAGTGCTCACTTGTCACACTAACCTCTTTGATACAATCACTCTAAATTACTCTATTATTTAGAGAATCAATTAAATTTCTTTATAACTAGAAATATTTTCAAATAAAATTTTATACATCACTTCATTACTGCTAAATAAAAATGTTTTAGCAAAATTTTTGCAACTGTTAATTACAGAGACCACAATGTTCGTACATGTTCCCACTGAGCATAAGCATATGGTGGCTGATATGTTTGTTGAATTAACAGTTTCCCATCTGCATCACATTCAAATGGTTTCTTGTCATTTTGCACCACTACATGACTGTTCTGATCCTTCTGCTGTACTGGAATCTGTTTTACAAATTCCTCTCTCCTCTCAGTATGAACAAAACTATGGCTGTTAAGATGACTTTCCTGTGTAAATCTCTTTCCACAATGAGTGCACTCAAATCTCTTTTCACTGTGCACATACCTATGGCTGCAAAGGTAGCTCTCATGAGAAAACCGCTTGCCACAAACCTCACAAGCAAATTTCTTTTCTTCGGTATGTACAAACCTATGAGTCATAAGATGATTCTCATGAATGAATCTTTTTCCACATTCATCACATGCATATTTTTTTTCCTCATCACTCATATACTTATGGCTGTTTATGTGATTCTTCTGCACTTGCTTTCCCCATTGCTGGAACTCTGCTTTCTTTCCACTGTGTGTAAACTTATGGCTGTTTAGATGAATTTCTTGACCGAATCGTTTTCCACATTCATCACACTCAAATCTTTTCTCTTCATTATGCACAAACATGTGGCTACTAAGATGACTTTCCTGTGAGAACCGTTTCCTGCATACCTGACATTCATACTTTTTCTCTTCACTGTGCATAAATCTATGGCTATTAAGATGACTGCTCTGACTGAAACGCTTCCCACAAACATCACATTCAAAATTTTTATCACTATGCACAAGCATATGACTATTAAGGTGACTCTCCATGTTGAACTTTTTGCTGCATAGAGGGCATTCAAATTTCTTTTCATTATGTACGAGCATGTGGCTGTTCAGGTGACTTTCCATGTTGAATCTTTTACTACAAATTTCACATTCAAACTTCTTTTCTTCACTGTGTACTAACATGTGGCTGTTAAGATGACATTCCATAGTGAATCTCTTACCACAAACAGTACACTCAAAATTTTTATCCTCACTGTGCACGAGCATGTGGCTGTTCAGGTGGCTCTCCATATGAAAGCGTTTGGCACATAACATACAAGAAAACTTTTTTTCATTGTGAACAAGCATATGGCTTCGGAGATGACTTTCCATGTTGAATCGTTTAGGGCACAGCGGACATTCAAACTTTTTCTCATTATGGACAAGCATATGACTGTTAAGGTGACTCTCCATGTTGAATCGCTTACCACACATTTCACATTCGAACTTTCTGTCCTCATTGTGTACAAGCATGTGGCTTGTCAAGTGACATTCCATATTAAACCTTTTGTTACAAACTTGACATTCAAATTTTTTATCTTCACTATGAACAAGCATATGACTTGTAAGATGATTTTCCATTGCAAATCGTTTGTTGCATACCTCACATTCAAAGTTTTTTTCAACTGTGTGCACAAGAATGTGACTGTTGAGATGGCTCTCCATATTGAATCTTTTCCCACATATTTCACATTCAAACCTCTTTTCACTATGCACGAGCATATGACTTACGAGATGACTCTCCATTGTAAACCGTTTATGACACAATGAACACTCAAACTTTTTTTCACTAGTATGAACAAGCATATGACTGTTCAAGTGAAGTTCCAAGGGAAATCGTTTGTCACACTGAGAACATTCAAATTTTCTATCTTCATTATGAACAACCATATGGCTGTTCAGCTGAACCTCCATGTGAAATCGCTTACCACATAGTACACACTCAAACTTTTTGTCCTCATCATTATGCACAAGCATGTGACTTTTAAGGTGACTTTCCATGTTGTATCTCTTACCACATAATAAACATTCGTGATTTTTTTCTTTACTGTGTTTCATCATATGGCTGTTCAGATGGCTTCTCTGTGTATATCGTTTCCTGCATATTTCACACTCATACTTCCTGTCCATGCAGTGCACAAGCATGTGGCTGTTCAAATGATTCTGCATTGCAAATCTCTTGTCACAAATTTCACATTCATATTTCTTCTCGGTAATGTGCACATGCATGTGACTTGTTAGATAATTTTCCATTGTGAATCGTTTACCACATATCTCACATTCAAATTTTTTTTCTCTGCTGTGTTCTAGCATATGCCCATTAAGGTGACTTTCCATACTAAATCTCTTATCACATATTTTACATTCAAAGTTCTTCTCCTTGGTATGCCATTGCATATGGCTGGTGAGGTGGCTTTTTTGTGCATATCGCTTACCACATCGCTCACACTCATATGGCTTCTCACCATCTAGCAGGTGAGTTGGCTCCTTAATCGATACTGTATTTTCTTGGATGTGATAATGTCCATAAAAATTTGGAGGATGATGAATAAGAGTCTGTGTTCCAACAGCATTTGTTTGGCTTACTTTATGAAATTTTCCTGGGTACGGGATGTGCAATCCTTCCATTATGAGGTATATATTTTATATAATTTAATTATTTATGTTAAAAGTAAAATTTAGTTTTTTATGTGATCATATAGTGATCACTTTTCTCATTTTCATTATTGATGCAAATTCTGTCTTGATCTCCAGGAGGAGTATCCACGTCCATGTTCCTGGAAGAGAGAACATATGTTAGCCATCTAAAGTTAACAAATACTGCATTTGTATACATAACATGAAAAATATTGTGAAGTAGTGTAATAAACTATTAATTAGAATTGTTTGATATCTTATAACACAAACTGTGTAATAGCCTCAAGGAAAATAAGGCATAAGGAAAATGCTCTAATGATCATGGCTCTGCAGATTTTCACTACATCACTGAGGTGAGAGATGTTAGTATTAAATACAATTATCTTTATCAGCTGGTAATACAGACATCTTAGATTACTGTTTCCATGACAATGTATTCTACTACTGGGCCTGATGAAGATAATGGCCAACTTGTATAGTGTTTCTAAAGTTTCTTAAATTCATGTGAGATAGCTAAAAAACATTGCTTTGTTAGACTAAGAAAGTGAGAAAACTTGGCTTCTTGTTTTAATTTACAGACAACTGGGCAATTGAAGTAAATAATATATAAGGTTATTACAGTGAATTTGAAAAATATAATGAAATGAAAATACGAGTATGGTACTGAACCTGGCACTTCAGGTTACAAAGGTGTTCATTTGCTGATTCAGTTGCGGTAAATTAGGAGGCTGAAGTTATAAAAGTAGCAGGTCATTAATCATTAATTTTTAGTACCCACTGGCAGTTGAAGAGCCCAACTTGGTAGATATTATAGGGTAGATAGATGATAATTACTACCAGTTGCCTTCTATTGGAACCCTTGACAATGCCCACAATTTAAACAACTGCAGAATTTATGAGAAACATTTAATGACTGCCACTTGCAAAATTATTCCAGTAATGCTTTTATGATATGCATTTTGATATGAATATTTGCTATAATTGATGTAAGAAATACAATCATGTTTCTTCTGTGCAATACAGTATTATTCTAAAGATTTAAATAATTTTTGGACCAAGATCGACACTCTCCAATCATTAAATGTTCCTCATCAATTTTGCAGTTGCTTAACTTTTACCATATATAATAGTCTGGTGTAGATTGTGTACATTGTCAAGGAATGCAACAGAAAACAACTGATACTAATTATCACCATCTATCTACCCTATAATAGCCACTAATTTGGTTTATTCAACTGCCAGTGGGTCCCGAAAAATTGATGGTTATTGAACTGCTACTTTTATAGCTTCAGCCTCTTAATTTACAGCAACGGAACTCATGAATGATCAACTTTGTAACTTGAAGTGCCAGGTTCAGTACCGTACTCCTATTTTTATTTCTTTATATTTTTCAAGTTCACTGTAATAATCTTATGCAGTATATTATTTACTTCTAGTGTCCTCTGGAAAAATATTTTTGTATCAAATGCAGATATTCTGGTAGTATTAATACAAAGGTATTAACCTTTGTGGTGTTTGTAAATTAAAACAAGAAGCTAATTTTCCCTCACTTCTGAATTCTTACTGTATAATGTTTAGAAAGTATGAAATAGCTCAGAGCATAGAAGCAGAAAACTTTTTTAGTTTAACATGATAATTTTTTCAATACAGACTACACCTGTATTTCATATGAAGGTAAGAAACTTCAGGAACAGCATACAAGTTGTCCTTTCATCGTCAAGCCCTTTACATTCTAGTGGTAGAAAACATAGCCAGGAAACAGTAATGTAATTTTGCATCATATATACAGTACATAGCTGAATAGTGGAAATTTAAAGCAGTTTAGTTATTTTAGAAGCCATTCATTATGCTCAAAATTTATTGGGAATTCAACAAGAGATCTACAGGCTAAGTTTGTACAGTGTACATTATGCAAAATGCAAAGCCAATAGCTTAACTTGCACAGCAGTCTTACAAAATATTCTATTACTCTATAATTATTTTTAAAATAGTTTTGCTGCCAAAGTATGTTAACCATGTTATAAAGGTGAGCCGCTAGAGTCAAACAATGTTTGAGACCATCTGCACCGTATCATTATTTTGAGGCCTTTACAATGTGGTCAGTGAGTTCAAACAAACTTATGTGACAAGTCTTTAGAAAGGATGTGTAATAATTAATCATTTTTATTTTTTAAAAATATATATACAGTATTATATCCAGCTATTAAAAAAAGTTTGAATGTTTTCACATCACACAGGGTCACTAATGTTTGTAACTGAAGATCATTGTAGGCATATAGTTATATTCCCTAAAGTAGTCATGGAGTGGGCAAAATACAGTACAAACTAAACAATTGTGACCTGCTCTCTTATTTTTCATGTGTAAGAACTTGTTTTTGAACAATTACTTAGAATCTTAGTGAACTTGCGTGTATATTGTGTGTATAAGTTCCATCAGTATCAGAGTGGATACTTAGCATGGTGCTACACCTGGCACCATGCTAAGCTTATGGTGGCATATCCTTAACAATCTTTCTTTCTTTCATCTTTCCCACGTACAGCACCATGCACCCTCATAACATCCACATTTCTTAATACAGTACTGTACTTATGGTGTTTAATTAATGACTAAAGTATAAAGCTACATAACTAGGCCTCTTCAATGTATTCTTTAAGATACCTTAGTACTGTAACTATTCTGGTTTTTAAGCAAACACTTATTTTTAGATATACTGTAATATAAACGTATGTTCCAGTTCTTACATCTCACCATCCAGCTACGTCTAACCCATCACCCCCTACGATTACCCTTTAGCATACTTTGTCAATATTTGTAAACAATTAATAAAACAAAATCATGAAGCTCTTACATGGCTTAGGATATACTGTGTATACAGTACAAATGTTCACAATTACTATGCAGAATATTGATTTTGTGTACATATAATAATGTAATATGTATGGCATGCTATGGTGATTGTAAGTGCACATAGCTAAACTGTTCCATGGCCACAATGACTTTTACTCCAATAATATTATTTAAATGTAGTTTAAGGTTAGACCAAAACAATTGTGTAGCTCAGGAAACTTAAACTTACCTATAAAGTACAATACATATCAACCTTAATTTGTTTCTAAGATATTTAACTCTTTAAACTGTTCCAGTTGCTATCTGCAATTTCCTCCTGTACGTAAATCACCACATGTGATTCATCCTTATGGATTTTCAATACTTTTCTAAAGGTAGCTGAATGGTAAACTCCACGAAGCCATCTTACTCAGATAGCTCCACACAGATGAGGCACATCAGCCTTAGGAGTCTTGAATATTGTACCCGGGACTAGCGTCAGGATTGTTATAATCACCCTCACCAACAAAACATCCAGAAAGTAAGCAAAACAATACAGAGAACTGGAAGGTTCACAGACAGAAAACAAAACCAGCAAACGACTTCGCAAATGATTCTTTCAATAGCTAGAATGACCCCCACCAGTTATGGCTGACCACTCTTAGGTGGCAGCACCATTGGGCGCTCCTGGCTTCCATATCATCATAACCTCAGTTCTGTCAATGATGTCCTTGAATGCAAACCTCAAAGAGTCACTGACTTTAGCAAGTCCAGGTTTTTTAAAGATAAGTGTAAGCCATCCTTTGGACATTGTTCTATGAGGGCCATTTGCTTGTGTGTTGTTCCCAACATTGGTATTTTCTTCAAGAGCATGTTTTTGAAGTCTCGTTTGTTGTGAACTTGGTTTATTCTTCGCCTTGAACTGCACATGTTTAGGGATACCCTTCATTGGGCATTCATTTTGCCACTGTCCCTGCTCTTGACAGATTGACTTCCCTAGTGAGTCCAAGAGTTTGCTCTCAGAGAGGCCGTATTGCTGTGCAGGGTGCCTCATTTGGGCAGTACAAGTGTCTCTGACTTCTTTTGGAAAGACTCTATGGTTGGAGCATTTGGAGTTTTGCTGTAGGGTGCATTAGGGTTTGCATGCTTGTCTAAATCTGTATGTTATGCCATTGTGCCTTTCACAGCCATATTTATTCTCAGGTCTGCAATCACCATCAGTTCCTTTGGCAAGTATCCCTAGTACCTAAGTGTTCTGCTTGGGTATTACTTCAGGCCCTGGTAAGCCCTATGGGTCTTCAACATGTTTCAATATGGATCAACCTGGCACTAGCTACTTGCGAGTTTGAAGGATGCCGACAGTCATTCTGTCAACCATGCTGCCTGTAGGGCCAGTGATACCTTTAACCCTGAGACCTATGATATTTGCATTCGTCTTTATTTTATTGTAGCCTGCCTCAGGACAGGAGGCTTATCAGGAACCAGCCACTTTATGGGTTCATTTTGACCATGTTAGTGGTTTACAGCTTGGTGTTCAAGTGGATGCTCCAGAGTTAGTCCCTATGATGTTTAAAAATTCTGAGTTGGAAGGGTTAGAGAATTCCACTTATTCAAAGATGGCCCTTCCTCATTTCCCAGCTGGAGTGGTTTGCCACACTCTTCCCCCTTCATTGAGTTTCAAAACATCTGAGGGTTTCAGAGTCTGGGCAGGGGTCTAGCTTTGGGTGAAGCGCAGCTGCCCCAGAGTCTGCCCCATCCACTTCAATGTAGAGATTATTGAGTTGTCGTTTCCTGCCAAAGATTCGAAGCTTTCTACTTCTTGGGGGTTTGTCTTGCTCTTATCCTTTACTTTGGGATGATGCCTTCCTACCTTGGGCATCAGGTGTGGAATACAGCTCTCCTCCAGGGTCTGCATATGTGACCTCTGGAGCTGGATGGGAAGCTCGAGGAAGGCATCCGGAAACCCTCCTCAGTCCCCGAGAACCCTTCAACCCTTCAGTCTCTGAATCCATTTGCAGATGGTGTTTTGCTCAAGTTGGAGGATCTTATCTTTTGGTCATGTTTGAACTGGATTTCTCTGCTGTTCACCTCCACCCCCAGGAGTGCACTTCAATGTCCCACTAGGTTCTGTGGCTGTTTTATTTCCAGAGGTTTCCATTGTCCCACCTTGTGCCTGCTTTGGCTCAGGTAGACCTCTTTTGGTTTCACCTGTGGGATTAGGACCGTACTTTCATTTTAGACTTAGCCTCCATTGAGATTGGATTGGCTTACTGACAACCCTCTGTTTTCATTGGGGGCTTGGGATAACTTTTGTCAAACCCAGACACTTGAGTGGTGGAAAGTAGGTTCTGTCTTTCAGATGTTCCTGGGTGGTGTTTCCTTTGTGCTGTATGAGAGCCAATAGTTTGCTCCAGTTTTTCCAAAGGATGTGGGCAGGTGACAGCTCCATATCCAGCAGCCTTTGCTCCAGGAGCCCTCACTGTGGAGGATCATATGGCTATTGCTCACTTGGCAATCACTTTGCAGGTCTGGGCAGTTGTTGAGCTGTTCTCTGACCAGCTCAGTAATGGCTTGGATGTTCTAGTGTTGGTGCCCGATGTGTCATTGCCTTGTTGCCTGTGGTTCCAGCTTCAGTGGCTCTGTCCAAGTTGCTTGCTCCCCTTGTTTGGGAGGCAGTGGCAGCATTTTTCCTGGTCTGTCTCATTTGTTGGCGGGCTGTGCTGGCCCAGGCTTTAGATTCGGCTTGGTCCTTAACTCTTTTGTCTGCCTTCCCCTTTTTGGCAGGGGTGTACAGCATATATATATTATTTACACTTTACCATTCCACTAACATTAAAACATGTCATCTGATTCCAGAATTGCAATTTATTTTCTTGCACATGATTACAGTATAGGCAGAGTTTATCAGGTGACAAACCAAAGTATCAGGGAACTAATTAGGATCACCCCAACCAACCACCCAATCACTCAAGATAATTATTGCTCTGCTTGTGTATATTTTCACTTTGCTTTGCATATTACCAGATACAGAGTTATGAAAATTTCCTTAATTTTCTTTTTAAAGCTGTATAGATCAATCATGTGTACAGTACATAGTTTCATAATATTTGTTTAAGTTGAAAAATAAATGAGGAATGCTGAAATGTTCATAAACCTTTGTATATTCAGCATCATCATCGTGCTATTATTAATAAACCTTTTGTTTTATTTTATACTTGAGAACAAGGATGGGGAACTGTGTTGCATTTTATGGTACTCAGTGCAGCCTTGAAAAGTAATTTACAGTAATGAAACTTGATTTGCAAGCATGTTTTTTATATACAGTACTTAAATAATAGAGCACGTAATACAATGGGTGGCCTTATGAAATCTTTCCCAAGCAAAATATGGCCTTTGTATGATGAAAGGTTCACTACTGCACTAAAACACCAAATTTAGAGTTATAACCCAAAACATAAATAACTAAGAAAACATAAAAAGAGAATAAACATTTTAGGTGTCACTGCCAAGTCAGAACAATAAAATAATTAAATAAAGATGCCTTACATCAAAAGACTTTGCTCACTAAAACCTACAAGAAAAAAGTAATTAACAGAATATAATTAAAAACATTAAGGCACACAACAGAGAAACTCTTTTTGATTTAGCAAATGTAACCATCAGCCTCACAAAAAATATCACAGCAAACCCAAAGAATTTTAAGGTTACATAACGAAGATAGTTCACTTTCAGTCTATTCATCCATTAGCAGCAAGAAATAGTGATTTAGTAAATGACGAAGAAGAGATGGTAATGATTAGTTTTGTTTCTGTATTTACAATAAATTTTTTATCATCATCATTACTAAACAGTGAACAAAACTTCTTTGATTTATGAACATTTTTGAAGAAGTCATACTCATAGCACTAAATCGTGACATCTTTGACTACAGCTTTCTATAAGTCATTCTCAAGACAGGAACCAGTCCACAAGAGTGGAAACTTATGTCACACCAAAAATAAAAATGGAAATTAGTCTTCTAATTATCAGGCAATCAGCTTTATGTCAATATAGTAATCAGTAAACAAATAGAAACAATTCTTCAAGCCCACATAGTACAATATTTAAAGTCACCATCTAGCTGGCTAAGTGTATTTGAAAACTGCCATAGTATCAAGACATACCAACGCATCAAGTGAGAGGCAGTTGCCGACACCTGCTACTGCAACTGAGCATCGCCACATTTCTGGAGATCATAAGCAATGAAAAATGATCTCTTGAATAAATTAACAATACAGACATATACTGATGGGTAGTTTCCAGAGATACTGGTGCACATTGAAGAAACCGATGGTTTTTACAGATAACATGTTGAGTTAAGACAGGTTGTGCTTTACACAAACCTGTACAAACAGGTTTGTGCTGTCCTAATGATGCACGAATGTATGAATGCAACCTGCTTGTGATTGGTAAAATCCCAAATCCAAGGACAATGAAAGTACAGTAAACAAGCCTCTACCTGCAATTTATAAGGACTAGCCATGTTTAAAGATGAGTCAAGATATTTTTCAAGAGTGGACTGAAAGATTTTTGTGCCTGAGGTGAGAGCATGCTACAAAAAAGATTGGCCTTCCAGGAAACAAAATAGCTGTGCCGTTTTTAGATAATTTTCCAAAGCATCTAAAAGTGTAAAATTAATAAAAGCAAAAAACATTATTGTTAGCTGCTTGCCTTCAAATATCACATCTTGTCTTCAAATACCACTATAAGAAACAATACAATTACATGAGTAAAGATATGACCACCACTATCAAATTAGCCATATGGGTAATAGCTAGAGATGGGGCAGATATCCACAGTTCAGCTACGAAAAATGCATGGCAGAAACTTTGGTCCACATCACCTGTTTACTCAACCTGCCACTGTGACTGCTAATAATAATAATGATGATGATGATGATTTTCAAGAATTTGAAAAAAAAAATGACAAAGAAGAATTAAGACATGAACTTCTTACCTATGTGGAGCATATAGAGTCCCCAGAAGGGAGAGAGGCAGTATTAAATGTGGAATAACAGGATGAGTTGCTTTCCTGTGATGACGACCTCCCAGCTACAGGAACAATGACTGAAGATAAAATAATAAACATGGTGATGTAGTCAACCGAAGCTGTAGAGGAGTACAACGACCCAGTGCCTGTGCAAAGTGGAGTCAAGGGATACCATAGATGAACTTAAGGGCTACCTTGAACAAAACAATGGATGTTTAATGATGAGGAAGAACTGATATTGATAAAAGTGAAAAGGTCGGTTATGTACAGTACATATTTGCACTTCATGAACATTTCAAAATACCGGTGTTGAAGGTAATGAAATGCAACTTTCTGAAGGGACCTTGGTGCTCCTTGGTGCTTACTTACCTGGCAAGTTCCACCCAGTTCTATTAATGCCAGGCCCTTGCATGTCATAAAAGCCTACCAGGGACTAGAAGCCAAAACCTGCCCACTCTAAAGAGGCCCATGGAGCAATGGACTGTAGATTACCCTAACCCTGAAAAGACCAACAGACAGGTGGGTAAACCTAATATACAAACAGCAAGATAAACAAAGCATAGAAAAATAGGACAGCGAAGGCCCAAGATTCACAAACTACTTAGTGGTTCATGAATCAGGAACCACAACATCAGGTACAGAAAGTGAAGGCAACTGAACATGCAGCTGCCAACATCTTAAGGGAAGGATGGCACAAACATGCAAGCCTGAAGTAGTGCAAAGGCAGCACTGCACAAAAATACATGACAGACCGAACTCACCTCACTCGACTTGAGCATTTGGGTACAGCAAAAGTCATGCCAGACCTCCAAAGAAATATGTAAAGGTTGCTTGTAAGCCAGAGTAAATCAGGAATCTCGCGCAGCAACTAATATGAAGCGGCTGACCAGCATTCAAAAGAAGACAAATCCATAAAAGATGCAAGGTCCTGATTCTGAAGAAGGAATCAAGAAAGAGCTGACTGCACCGGTGAGGGTGAAAGCCCAGAACTGAGAAACCTCTGAACATACAATGCCTCCAGGAACTATACTCGAACCCGGAAACACACACATGGGGAACCATCAAGGAATCCATCTCAAATTATGGAAGGGGGGGGGGGGTTACAACAACCCTCCATGTTTATCAAATACCACTCCTCATAGGGAAGTACAGGAATAACCAATCAAGATGGAAAGGTGTCCAGCTACTGAACTCGGGGTTGTCCCAGGAATGGGACACTGGGGCAGAGCCAAGATCTTTGTCAGATGTAGAAAGAAAAATGTCTTCCCACAGGGAAAGCAGCCATGAAATCCCTGAGACATAGAAAGGCAATAAATCCTTCACAGGAAGCAGTGTCTCAACTACCATTACCCTTTAAGTGGAAGAGGCAGTCCCCCTGAGAAGGCCCAAACACGCCTAAAGTGCAGTACCCTGTACTGTATCATCACCTCCAGATTATGCAACCTTCAGACATTTGGGAACTGGGAGTAAATGGAGAGGCTCCCCGGGCCCACTGAATAACACCTGCCTGGGCCAGGGAAAGAGGAGGAGGAGGAGGAGCAAACTTGGAACAAGTGGAAAATATTAACTGCCCAGAGATCAGATCCTGAAAAAACAAAGAGGCCGACACCGGGGGCAACCACGTTAACATTAAGTTGCAACTTAAGTATGCAGACAAATCTGACCTATAAAATAGCAGTCTCCTGATAAGTTGTCCTTAGAAGCAGTCTCAGCTAAAAGAGATCCAATGGACACAAACATTGTAGGCCTCAGGGTGGAATGTATCTCCCACCCAACAGTTAGCATGATGGAGGCAGTTAAAATGCCATCAGAAAACACAAAACTGAAGCACATCCATCAAATTCACACCCTTTGAGGGCAGAATCTGAGGGTTGGGCCATAACAAACTATCCAAAAACTGCAAAGGGCTTGCTGGTTCATGAAGGGTAGACTAAGCAGGAACATATGACACAGGTGCTGCTGGCAAATTGTAAACACTCACTGAAAACAGCCTAGGGAAAAATGCAGCAGTTAAGGGTGTTACTGGCATGCCATATAACGATCACACAAACAAAATGTGTGACCCTTAAATGAAAACCCAGTCTGTCCTGATCCACAAAGCCTTGCAAAGGAATCAGAGGTCATCTATGGGCAAGGCACCATCCAACTGGAAGCGGGCCTCTCAGAAACAGTCACCCAAACCTACTAAAGAAGATAACTGGCCAGGCAAGGGGCACACCAGAGAACACCTAGAGATGATAAATCTAGGAACACGATCAGAGTCCACGTAACCAGTTAGACATAAATATACAGAGAAACCTCGGGTGATGAGCAGCCCCATCTACGAGCATTTCAGGTAATAAGCGAGCCACTCACAGAAAATTTGTCTCGATTGATGAGCTTCCACTTGGTCGACGAGAAAACCACATGGTGCTTCCTAGCGTTCCCGCTGGTTCTCGGATGCCTCTGACAACAGTGTTGTTTCGCAAGACAAGCATTTCACATGATGAGCTCAGTGCCGGAACAGATTAAATTCGTTAACCGAGGCACCATTGTAGATGTATCATAAAGCAAACACTAACATAAAGAACAAATAAACAAACAAATGGACCCAAAGGACAAAAACTGAGTCCAAGATGGCCAGCATTTACTGCACAGTATCTGAAACACCAGGACCCGAAGGGCACTGGGGTGGGAAAAGAAGCATAACAGCAAATATCCTAGATGTTAGAATCAGGCAATATGACTGAGATGTCAAGGTTGGTGGAACTAACGAGAGAATTGCTTTACCATGAAGTGGTTGGTGAATCTTGGTCTTTGCTGTTCCATTTTCTATGCATTGTTTATCTTGCTGTTTATATGTTTTCATTCGCCAACTTTCTGGTGGTCTTTTCTTGGTTAGGCTGATCTGTGATTCCCTGCATCATGTACCTCTTTGGAGGGAGTCAGGTTTTGGTCCCTGGTCTCAAACAGGCTTATGTGAATTATACTGGCGTGGCATGAATTGAATTGGGTGATGCTTGCCGGGTAGCAAGCAAGCATAAAGAGGTCACTAATAGGAGCCCTCTCAGAAATGAGCCATGAAAAAAAAAAATTGAGGCAGCTGTTTCAGATTTAGGAATTGAACCTTCTGCCTCAAATTCCAGTGAACTTTGCACTTCAGCAATCAACAGATTCTTATAAAACATTGTCTAAATACTCATTTATCCAGTAGCAGCCGTTTATTCTGAAACACACTATACATGCTCAACTGATTGTTTGAATATTTCAAAAAGTGCTTTACTCACTTCTTATACAATATCTCGAGTTCCACGTCTCTAGGTGCTTTACTTACATACTGCAGATAGAAAAAATGCTGACAAAACCAAAACACGTAACCTAAAAACCCTAGGCCTAACCATCCATAAAATTGCAATATATATATATATAATATTACAGTAATTATACTTTAAAAAGCAAATTTGTTTATTACACAGCACTGTGCGTTAACATTTAGGAATGTCTCTTTGGGCTCAGCCGCAGTTTAGACGAGCATATAGTCCGAGGATGGGTTCCAGTAGCTCACCATTTTGATTGGTGCTGCCAGAGGCGGCTAGTTAAAATGTTGTGAACCCCTTACTCATCGTGTGAGCGGTAGTGCACCAGTAGCACTTTTTCCTACTCCTATAATTTTAGTACCTTCTTGCAAAGACTTTTAGAAGCATTTATATTTATTTTTTTCTTTCAGGGAGATAATTTTGTGATATCCAAAACAATGCAGGTTAGCCAACAGTTCTTAGTCCCAACCTCATTAGATCTCTATCAATTGATACAGTATTCAATAAGGCCAAGACCAAGACGTCCCCCCCCCCCGGCAAAAATAAATTCCTTAGTATATTAGAGGTTTCTTGCATTATGATTATATATATATATATATATATACATATATAATAGCCAGAACGCACTTCTCAGCCTACTATGCAAGGCCGATTTGCCTAATAAGCCAAGTTTTCCTGAATTAATATATTTTTTCTAATTTTTTTCTATGAAATGATAAAGCTACCCATTTCATTATGTATGAGGTCAATTTCTTTTTATTGGAGTTAAAATTAACGTAGATATATGACCGAACCTAACCAACCCTACCTAACCTATAATCTTTATATAGGTTAGGTTAGGTAGCAGAAAAAGTTAGGTTAGGTTAGGTTATATATATATATATATACATAGTTGGCTGAGAAGTATATATATATATATATATATATATATATATATATATATATATATATATATATATATATATATATATATATATATATATATATATATATATATATATGTACCTATATATATACATACTGTACATATATGGCATACACACACACACACTGTATATAGGTCTCTGTAAATTACAAAGAAATTAAGGTGTGATGAATAATGTGAAAATGTATAACCATGAAGGGAAAATGAAACAAGAAATTACTTGAGAACATACTTTTGTGTAAATCAACACATCACCAAAAGTATAAACAATGCAATACAATACCTGTACTTGAAAAATATAGGTAGCAAAACCGAAGATGACGAGTAAGGTAAAAATAACAATGTCTTTTATAATACCGGTTCATGAATACTGTATAAGAAAAGCAGAAAACTGAAGACAGCCTAATGACCAATACATGTGCGTTCCTGGAAGTACTGTCCTTCTTTTTTATACAATAACATAAAATATATAAATATATATAGGTGTGTGTCTAATATGCAAGTCTTTTTATTCAGCAAATGCTGAATAAAAACACCAGCATATCAGACAAAACCCAAGATGGAAGATTACAAATTCATGAGGCCCTTCACATAAAAATCGAACAACCCACCATAAATACACAAATATCAGAACTATTCAATCTACCCCACCATGAGAGTGAAAGCAAGACTGGAAGGCAAAGATATCAATGATGATGTCACTGCCCAAAATGCCATGCCCACTACTCCTGATAATTCTTTGTAGGTATAGGCTATTGATCTATGCCTCTTACCTTTATTCCTCACCCCTCACCTATTTGTATGTACCTGGGCTCCCAGCAGTATAAAGTAAATCTGATTGGTCCTTTCCTGTCCCTTTTACGGACTATTCATCCCCGTGTCACCTCTCGGGTGGCTTAATCCTCATCAATCATCAATCAATCCTGTCCCAGCAACAGCCCCGCTTCTGTGCCAGGTAAGTCCACTACGGGCTCACCATAGCCCGTGCTACTTGGAACTTTTTGTTCAGAGTAGTTGAATCTAAAACATCAACAACTCCTGTCTCCTGACTTGAGAATGAACCTTGTGGGTTTTCTAGCACTCTTGCCAGAACCTTAGATACCATTATGAAGGACATAAGAAAAAATCCAGGAGTAGGGACCAAATCTAGGCTTCATTCTTAATCCATCCTGATGTGAAAGGCCTCCCCTCCCATCTCAAATATTACTGTGCAAGTACTGTACAGTGGAACCTCGAGTGACAAGTGACTAAAGTTACGAGCATTTCAAGTAACGAGCAAGCCACTTGCAGAAAATTTGTCTCGACGGACGAGCTTTCGCTCAATTAACAAGCGTTCCTGCTGGTCTCTGACACCTCCGATGACAGTGCTGTTGTTGTTGTTTTGCAAGACGAGTTTTCCACATGACAAGCTCGGTGCCGGAACGGATTAAATTCATTAATCGAGGCGCCACTGTAATAGCTAGCTTCTCTGCCAGGTCATATGACCAGATGACCAGGTCATCTGGTCATATATGTAATTGACAAGATCCTGGATGCACCAGTCACCGACCTAAGGAGAATGCATAAAAGGATTCACAAAATCAATGCTCATGATGCTTTCTATCTCCTCATAAGATGCTTCTCTCTATCTAAGTTGGCTTACTTTCTGAGTGTTCTCCATAACACACCAGTACAGTAGTAAATTAAGTGAGTATGACACCCTTTTGAAATCCATCCTGGACAAAGTCCCGAATACCCCTGTGGATGACTCACCATGAAAATAAGCATCGTTTTCCTTCAGTCTTGGTGGCCTTAGTTTCTGAAAAGCCTCCCAGATTGCTTTTCCTGCCTTCCTTTCTCTCCCTCTGCATCAAACGACCTTGTAAAATCAT